TAAGTGCTTGTGGCTCTTATATACATATATTTAAAACACACAGTAAGAACATAAGAACATCTCAAATCATTTAGAAGGTAAAGGGGTTATCAACCAAAATCTTTGGAAATTTCATAAAATTTAAATATCTGCAAACAATCCAACCAAAAAGAAAAATTCCAACATTTGGCTATGGAGGGCACTTTACACATGAACCAAATGGCATTATCACATTTTCCTTCAGGTAAAGTAGTTACTAAACCCCATTAGAAAGGATACAAGAGCAATATTGGCGACATCCCAGAATATCACGTACTCAATTAGAACATTCTGTGTTCACTGACCACGGGCTCTCTTTTACATTGCACACATTACATTTCTACAATGCAATGTTGAAACGGCCTCCAAGTTTTGCAAAGTAGATTGATGTCCATTCTACATAAATATTAACTTATAGTACATAACACTGAATGATTTTAATCTGCACATTTTTCCTCCCATAATAGGTGACACAAGCCAGTTTGTACAAGTTAGGAAAAAAAAAAATTCTGGTTGTTTACATCTGGATTGACAGTCCACAGTCAACCAGAAGTGGTGGGGTGGGTATAGTCGAAGAAAGTATTAATACAGTGTCACAGTAATTGCAGTTAACAATATTCAGCTTTTAACAAAGTGGTACAAAATAAATCATCTTAGATTTTTGACTGAAAAGATCTAGCTGAGAAGGTTCTGCCAAACAGCCGACCAACTGATCCAAAAGGTTAAGGCTGACTTAGCAACCTGCAGCACAACCAAAAACATTGGCGCAGTTCAGAGCTCTTCAAATGCATAGCTTCAGTGTTACATGCACATTAATTATATTCCTTCAATGAGTTAATCCTCTAGACAGTTTGCTTTTTGTTTTGCATGCATCCCATTCCATTTTCATTAAGGGTATCTCTTTCTTGGTCAATCATGTGCTTTGCTTTTGTTTTTGTGAATATTTTTTTTTGTATGTTTTGTTTGTTAAGCTGTCAATACCTCCAACACTTGGAAAATGAAATACAGATGCGGTTTTACTTACAGAAGAGAATCAGAGCTATATGGACAATGCAGAATGAAATGAAACAAGTGTCAGAAGCAGTTTATAAAAATGGCACATTTATTGCTACAGAACGGTCATGTACATGACTTCATCGAATAACTACAGATGAAAACAGGTAATGGCCTAGACCAAGCTGGGTTTGTTTTTGTCTTGAAGGAACTCCAGCACACGACCTGTTTGGACACGTCTACAAATCAGAAATACACCAAAAACATGAAAAAATCGAGGCACTCAGCCACACATTGAAAACAAGGTGTAACTGTTTATCTTTTTTTTTTTTGAAATGTTTTCCCTTTTTTTCTTTTTTTAACAATTTTTTTTTTAGTTTTTAATGCTGCAGCTATGTGTACAGTCGCAAAAAATTTCCCGCTGCGACCTACAACTAAAAAAAAAAAAAAAAATTAAAAAACAAAAAACAAACAAAAAAGCTACCATACAGTTTCATCTCAGTAACACATGGTAAAATAACATCTTTTAAATAGTAAAATAAAGTAACAAACTTTTACTCATAATGATTCCAAAAATCTACAAAGAAGAAATATTCAGAATCTGACAAATTTTTTTTTTGTAATATTCATGGTATAAAAGGATTGCTCCTGCAAAAAATAAGCCAAATATATTTTTTATTTTTAAATTTAGTTTTTTTCCTACTAGGGTGTACTACAGTCTATTTTATAGCAAAAAGAGCACTAGACAGACAAAGCTTTATAACAAAAAGCCAGGCACTGATACATGGTAAATCTCTGCTTTTTTTTTTCTTATCTTCACTTAATTGCATCACAAGTAACAAGAATGAAAAAGGCCACAGTTCATATATTTTCACCATTACATATGTCTATAATACTTGAAATGAGTATGGCAAAACCAGCACTGCACAAAGATGAGTCCACTTCAAGTCCCATAAGAGCATGTCTCTAAAGAAAAACAAACGAAACCAAAGCAAAATAAAAAGAGGCCTAACGGCCTTGGTGCCCCATTGTGTTGGAATTCATCACATTCCATCTTGACTTTTTTGTTTGTTTGTTTGTTTCCAGTCAGCCAGCAGACTAAATTTTTGTGCTTGTTTATGCTGAAATGGTTTCATTCCTGACTCAAGTTCACTTTTGGACACAGATCACATTCTGTCTGTTGGATGCAAAGACGGAAATCCTCTTAACCCCAAGTCTTGTTTCGATTCCCTCCCCACCCCACCCCCAACCCCTCATCAAAATAAAGATCACAAATAAAAATAAAAATCAAGAGATAGGAAAAAGTGAAAAACAAAAAGGAATCGGAAGACTGAATCAGAACAAGTTGCATCACTGGGTGGACTGACAGTTGTAAAAACATTAGTGTTCCTTGCAGCTACACAGAAGACAAATGGTAAAAAAGTTCTAGATGAACAGATCCCTATTCTGCATATTCATAAATTACTTGAATGTGGAGGTGGATCAACTGTTCCAAGTCGCTTTTAAAGTCCAAGTGTCTTAAACAGATCCCCAGCTTAAATATCATCATATATAGTGTAGTCTGGACCCTTATGAAATTTTTGTATAGTACTTTTGTCCTGTATTTTGCTAAATTTTACTCGAACATCCAGCGCAGGATACCAATATCTTACCTGGGTTTGATAATTACAAAACAACGACAAGAAAAAAACACATTAAAAAGGCCACATTCCCTTTCATCTTTTTTAATGGGGATACAACCCAATTAATACGGAGAGGTGCCGATCATGTTTCTCCACCAAGCAAAAAAGTTGTGAGCAGCTTTTGGTGGCCGTTGAAATAGTTTTCCACTTATTTCCAAAGGGAATTCAACAATAGAGGTATTACATTACTGAGTAATGAATACATCAAAGCTGGTGAGCAATAAATTGCAGCTTTTACTCTGTTTGAGTGAGAACAAAACATAAAGCACCAATTTAAAAAATAATCAAATGACAATTTAATTTTTTGCTTTGTTTACAGACTTGAAAAACTTTAATTCAGCTCTATAAAGCACCTTCATGATAACATGTATCAAAAGTGCCTTTCTTAAAATGTACATCAATGCAGGGAGTGTTTCCAGTTCCCTAAAGAGTAAACACCGTACTTTCTTCTGTACACTTATCCTGAATTGATCAGAGTATACCTGCTTCCTATATAATATTGTTTCTAGGGATACCCGCCTTGGTCGACTATACAAAATGAGTGCAGAATGTACCACTAAAACGAAATCTTTAACAGACTGAGGAAACAACCACACAATGGTTTTCATTATTCAGGGAGGAGAGGAGAGTAAACATCATTGTCTTCCAGGCCCTTCTCTGAGCCCCTTTGTTCGCACATTTCACAGGAAAGCCCCCAAAACAACTTTTCCTGAAGTTTGATTTCTGCTCTTCTCCTAACGTTTTCAATCCACCTCCACATTTTAGGAACTTATCAACAAATCAAAGTATTTTAGTTTTATCGCTACTGAACATATTTACAGTTTTCAACACACACACAGCTAATCAAAATGTTTATGGGTTTGTAAAAGATGACCACGTGGTAACTATCTTATTTGTTCTTACATTTTCAGAAATGAACATAAAATTCAGATTCTTGTAGCTCACTATTTCATTTAAATGAGACTTTTTTTAACCACAGTTTAAAAAAAAACAAAAACAAAATCTGATACAATGTATTAAAACACATAATAACGAGTCTACATGTGAAAATATAACTTTTACATACACAATTTCAAAATAATGATACATTTGTTTGCCATTTGTTGCATAAAATTTACAAATGTATTTCATTACTATGTAACTGGCAAAACAGGAGAACAGATGGAACATTTAGACCATTTCGATGGATTTATGGCATTTTACTCAGTGCTGATAGGTGGAAAAACTACTTGAACAGGGATTTTTTTTTCTTAATACATGCCAAGATTGTGTGGCTGTAAAAATAGAAACGAGTTAAGAGACAAAAGGATGCTGACAAATACCTAACTAGGAGCACTATTTGTTTACTGCACTATACACCAAAGTCAATCATTATAAAGATTCACGATGGAAGTTGGTTCAATTGTGCCCAGACGTCAAAGCTAGCTATCTGATGAGTTGCTGTGCCATAGCTTGATCTATGTTTCTATCAAATATGTTAAGTATAAACTTCATTCATACTGGCCAGAGAAATACTGTACTAGCCCTCCTCACGAAAGTGCAACTTAATGCTTTAGGACTTATAAGGCTTATTATAATGCTGCATGATGATTGAATATTGGCATTTCTCAAATGAAGGAGGAGCCAGTTAAGTCATCTACATTTTAGTAAACCCATTTTGAAGGAAAAAAAAAAATCAAGAAAGCAACAAAATCAATCAGCTCTGTCACACTACTTGCAATTTTCGCATTTGATGGTTTTTGAACTTTTTTTTGTTTGTTTTTGTTTTTGTTTTTTTTTTTTTCCAAAAATCTGACCATGTATTCAGAAACACCTCACTGCACACTACTTCGGCTACACACGTAGGTAACACTTTTTAATCATCTTGTTAAATCACAGCCACTTTGATTATGTTATGTTTCCGATGATATAAACATTGGAAGGCACAGTGGTAACATTGTAGCATTCTAACCTTGTACCTCTGAAAATCCCAGAAGAGGGTCACAAACGCAACATTACAATCAGACAAACTCTTTTTTTTTGCCATGTCTTGGTAATGCTGCTTGTAATATCTACACATGATGTGACTTTTAAGTCCTGTGTTCCCAAAAGACTGGAGAAACAACTTTCTACTTATTTATGAATGAGAAGCAACATCAGGGTCAGCATTTCATCCTGCACTACCCCTCCGGAAGCAGAGTTGGCACTACAGGTTATGATAACAAACCGGGGAAAGGGACAGAAAGAAGACCAAAACAAAACAAAACAAAACCAAAAAAAAAAAAAAAAAAAAAAAAAAATTCCATATTTACAGTAAAATCTTTCTTTTAAAAAAGTTAATCAGTACTATTTTTTTACAGGAGAAAAAAGTTTGAAACAAATGAACAGAAGCTTACCATAGTCACTAAATTTTTAATATATATTTATATATATATTTATATATATATTTGTCATAGGTCTATAAGATCCATCTGTTCTTCCTACCCTAAGGAATGGCTAATGTCATCACTTCGTTGTCATCAGGACGTTTGCTGGTTTTGTTACTAGGGCAGCCGAGCTTCCCCTATGTGATATCCAGTAATTATATAAACACTAGCTGACTTGAATACCAACAAAAACGTTCATGTAGTTTTCTTCAGAAGTACACTTTTTCATTATTGCAAGTTTACAATTTTTTAAATTAAATATTTTTTTTTCAGACTTACAAATTAATTATATTTTTTTTTTTCGAAAAGAAGTTTAGGCACAAATGCATTGTTCCACAGTGTGGAGAGATTGCCATCCAGTCTCTGGGCTGGGTCTCAGCCTGCACATACTGCTTTGCACATTCTGAATGATATGTTAGAGAGTCGTCCCTCAAGTTGCACTTTTTTCGTTCTTTCTTTCTGTTTGTCTGTTTTCTGATAACTGGGAATGCTGAAACCTCTTGCGTCTGTGATTCATAACTACTCAGACTTGTCTTATATTACAAAAAAGGGGGTCAAGGAGAAGTGTTTATGTGGGTTTAAGATAGTACAGCTGTTAAGGAAGTGGTCTCTTGTTTTAATGAAGCAATGTGGCAACTTGGACCTGAGAAGGGAAGAGGGAGGAAAATTAATTAATACATTTATAACAGAAGACATGGTTTTTTAAGACTTTTTCCAAGAAAAAAAAAAATCTGCTAATTTGGGTAAGATCTGACTTTCACGGTTGAGGCCTCGGTGAGAGTTACATGTGATTACTTCGGAAATGACTGAAAACCAACTTGCCCTTTTACATCTGTCCCATGTGATTTGCTGCATCTCCCATCCCAGGGTGAGGGCCCGCCAAGGAGAGCGGGGGTGGCTCCGAGGACACCTTCTCTTCCTCCCTTCTTTTCAGACACGCAGCTTTAGGATTCAGATTCCTTTCTGGGGAGGAAGGAAGAAGACGGGGCATTTAGTTAAGGCCAGTGCTGCTGGGAGCGGGGCAGTAACGTACTCTTACATATGTGTCTGACCCCTTTTCCTAACTTGGACGTTACCGAATGAAACGAACCGTTAGCCAATGTGCAGCAGAGTCAGTCAGTCTGTTAGTAACTAATAAAACTGCACTGCGTGGCTAATTTGCATAGCCATCTGACAGTATGAAAGAGTTGGTAAAGCAGACCTACTGAGCTCCAATTACCGACAGTACTTATGGACATGTCATAATGTAGTCTTAATTATTAGAGGAGGGAGTTCTGCTGGTGCAATGGTTAAGTGCTCAGCTGCTAACTGAAAGGTTGGCGGTTTGAACCCACTAAGTGGTTCTGCAGGAGAAAGACCTGGTGATCTGCTTCCATAAAGATTATAGCCTAGAAACCCTATGGGGTTCTACTCTATCACAAGGGATCACTATGAGTTGAAAATTGACTCAATTATTAGAGAACCCTAAAAGTCAATTACAGGAGACAAGGAAGCTGTCCTGTAAATTCAGACATGGTCTGCAATTGCAACAATTATTCTGAGTGATGCCTGAAGTGTCCACTCTCTGCTCCTGCCCGAGGCTGATATATTTGCGTGCTCCTTGCCCACTGCCTGCTCTCAGGGCCCTTTCCCAGGAGGCTGGTGGCCTGCACTGACCTCGGACTTGCTGCTCCAGGCTGAGGATGACAGCCACGGCCTGGTGGAGGATCAGGAGCTTGGTCTGGGGCTTGTCACTCTTGAGGTGGAGCTGCACCATGCGGCCAAGCTCCTTGAAAGCCTCGTTGATGTCACGGACCCGCAGGCGCTCGCGGGCATTGTTGGCCATCCTCCGCTCCTTCTCACGCTCCGCCTTCTGCTCTGGCGTGAGGTCTTCGTCATCATTATTGCTGCGAGACAAAAAGGACGCGAAATTTTCTAATGGTGTGGGGGAAAACAAGACATCTAAAATTACTTTCGTTTTCTCCTGGGTTTTTCATGGCATTTTTCAACCTCAAGCCATGTTCTTGGTAGACTTTTACATCAACTTGAGCTGGGGCTTGCTTTTAGACTGCTGGGATAGTCCAGGCACAAAACAGTTTGTTTCTCCCAGACATTAAACCCAAACCAAATAGGAGAAGAGAAGCTAGTTGATAAAGTCAGAACTCAGAGTGTGCCTGTCCTGATGTAGGGTGGCAAGAAGGGGACACAGCATTTACTGATAAGATTACACTCTGCAAACAGGCCACTGTCAACTCAGGCTTAACCTACGTGCATAACCACACTTCAGAAAGATTTCTGACCATAAACTTTTTTTTTAAGCTTTCATACGGTGACATCGGAAACCTGAGGAAAACAAGTACTTCAAAAAAAATCTTGGATAAGTTCAAGTAACATGTCATAATAAACACGATGCAGCTTAACAGGAGGAGGAAGAGGGTCCTATGCTCAGGACACAAAAGCTATGGGAGTGGAGATCGTCAGACAGGTTTCGCCATTAACTAGCTTTAAAGGCCCGGTCAATGCACTTAACGTATCTGAGTCTTATTTTCTCCATGTAGTGAATAAAAGGTTAGACACACAGGATCTCCATGGCTTTCAAGGTCACGAGTGCTTATGATCTCCGAAGTTGAGGAAACCTGAACGGTTGAACACAAAGCAAAACAGTACAAAAACCAAACACCTACTGGTTACAAACGACCATGCCCTCATTGGGAGTCAAAGCAAAAACACTAATCTCAGACTGTGCAAACTGAAATATTATTTGATTCATATCGAAGGCATGGTTGGACCTGGTATAGTCTGCAAAGGTAAGATCATTCCTGTCCCTTTCTGCGTGCCATATTGACAGGTTAGAGACTTTTTAATGAAGGGTAAACAGGGTGAAGAGCCATCCAGAAAGCATATCATATAAGGAAGATTTCATGGCGTCAGGGTTTCAAACATTTCAAGGGCTATTACGCAAAAAAAAAAAAGACATAGCAGACAACTTGTATTGTCTCAGGAAGGCAGAACAGAACACAGAACACTAAGTTGAATATTCTGACTTAACATGAGCAAGAAACTTTTTAGGTATTAGAGACACCAAAAATGAAGCAAGCTTCACTGAAAAGTAACATATTCCCTATTACAAGAAACAAAATGGAGGCAGCCACCTGTAAGGATGTTAATCTAGAGATTCAAGCGTAGGAAGGGACAAGATCCCGAGGATCATGAAGGTTACCTTCTACTTTAAGATGCCATGAATCTGAGATGTTTACAGAATAAAGATTATTAATTACAACCATTCAGAGTGGGAGGATAGAAGTTATCTTCCATTCCACGCACATTTAATGAATGTTGGCTTAAAATCAATGGCTCTAAATCCTTCATTTTGGAGACTGTCTCTGGGTAACTTCCAAAAGGCAACAAGGACCACTGATTGAGAGGCCCCAATCAATCAAAAAAGGAAGTGGTATTCTTGGGTTGCAAGTTCATGTTGCACCTAAAGACGATGTATGTAAGCCAAGGACACTTCAGTGAAGGGGTAAAGTATGGATGAAGGGCACTAAAAAAAAATCTTTCAAGATGGGCCTGTCTGCATAGGTGAGAAACATGTAATTGAATTGAACCAACTGGGAAAAAAAGGCCCTCTTTTTCTGTCACCTGATCCTCCTCACTTCCTCTGCGGATGGATCCCTTCCCACCCGTGACCTCTGCTGGTGCCAAGGCAATCAGGTTACAATTAACTCACTTCACTACACCAAAAGGGTACCTTCACTACACCAAAAGGGTGCAACAAGCAAAATGGAAACAGAGCCAAGTCTCTCCTGGGCCCGTCTTGAAGCTAATAATTTGGTGATATTTTTATACATCAAACATGCCATACCTAACACAAAATGGGAACTTGTTTTCCAAAGGTTTTCAGGTTTTAATAACTGATTAGAATTGGCTATTCACTTATAAATAAATTGGTTATGCAAATGAAACTGCCTAGATTTTGCAAGTATTGTCTTGCAACACGGATTTGGAGGCATACGTAAATGTCGCAAGGGTGACCTTTTTAAAAGAAGGTTTTTAACAGCAATTGAAATGTTGTTCAGAAACTTCAAGGAATCCATTAATATGCATAAGAAGTAAATGGTAATTAAATTACCAAGAACTGACTGGACTAACACAGACGCTATTAAGGATGTGAAAGCCCCCCATTAGGATTTCTTACCAAGAGTGCAAGAAACTTTGCAGGGATGGTCCAAAGAGGTAAACTAGAAGTTGTTAACATTTTTGGAAATGCTGGGGCAGGATACGTAATGAAATTTATCTCAATAATCATTACGGCAACACGAAAATACAAAGAAGTCTGTTCTTAGTTCAGAAAAGACACTAGCTGTAACTCTGAGAGCCTCAGCCTTTTAAAAGAAGGGGTGTAATCTTAGGACAATTGGTTTACTTTGCAAATAAAAACGACTAAAGAGAATTGGGGCAAAGAACACGGGTGTCATGGTATTCAAAAACCATCTTATTACCAGATTAGAGTTAACATTCGAGGAAAGATATTAAAATTTAAAGATATCAGATATTTAAGAAAACCAGCCAGAAACTATTTTCCTGCAGTAGTATTTTCTGCAGAAAGGAGTATCCAAGGGAAGAAAAAACAGCAATTGAGGTATTACTCTTAAAGGTATCAATGTTTAGGATAAAGTCTGGGAAATCACTATTTTCTCACATTAGTCGTAAGAAGAAAAGTTACAGTGTTCATATACATCGATGTAGTCTTTAACATGGCTATGATCTCTTTTTTTAGAAATAATTTAGAAAGGACATTTCAGATCAAATTTGTAGAATAAGAATCGTTTTAAAAACAAACCATTTGCACTTGAATCAATTACAAATTGTTTTTACTGTGTGGAATTAGCACTGGGACCAAATTCAGAAATGCAAAGGTATTTTAGGCTTCCCTAGAGTACGGGTATCTCAAACGATACTTTTAGTACTTCTAGAATAGGCCTTTCGTTTTCTTTTCAGCTGCAGATTTACCTGCCAGGAAAAAACCGAATAGTTTCTTCCTGTTCTGTTCACTTCATCAAAGTCCAATAAAGGAATTAAATGAAGCGACAGTATTATATACTGTTACCTAGATCTTGACCTAGTAATTGATTTGATATCCTTCTTGTCGTCATCTAATTTCTTGTCCTCGGAAGATTTCGTGTCTTGCAGGTTCTCATCGCCCTCGTCATCGGATTTGATCTCAGAGCTGCCGGAGGAGACACTCTGCCCCTGGAGTCCTGGTGGCATGCCTAAGGAGAAAGAAGCAAAAACAGGTGACTCTCAGGCCACAGACTCACTGCACAATGACGGCACCCAGACCTCTAGGCTGCCAGCTCTCCAATTCAGACTGCGGCACGGCGATCTCTCTGTCACTTTTTTCCTGCTCTCTGGTGAAGTTTCAAAAACGCACCTGCGGAAACAAGTTTTCCCTGCATTGGCTCGGAGGTTAAATTCTATTTTGCAATCTTTTGGAGTAGATGGTAATTTCACTGTCTACAAAACATCAACTTAATTGCAATGAAAATCATAATCATGAAAATCACACACTGCAATGTTCTGATTAAGAACCCAAGTAAATATCAGCTATTATATTGAGTTTCTTCCATATGCAATGATTTAATAGAAAAATGTCCTTAAAATATAATTCCCAGGGAGTACTCTAAATATGTGCAGTCAAGACTTCAACAGATACCCTAATAATATTCTGAAATTAGGCTTCTCTTATTCTCAAGGAGTAATCAGCATTTAAAAGTGGTACATATGGAAGGCAGATAGCTGCTTGCTGAAGACATTTCTAGCTTTATCATTGCTCAGCTTTCTAAGATCACAATACATTTTAAAACTTGACCCTAATGTAGTCCTGCTATCTAAGGTAGAAGCATGTCCATCTAAGTATGTCCTTCTATTTGCAATCTGTGTAGTCTAGAATCTTGTCACTCAAAATTTGCCCCATGGGCCAGGAGCATTCTTATCATCTGTGAGCCTGTTAGAAATGCAGAATCTCGGGCCCCACCGAGACCTACTGAATCAGAACGTGATGCACACACACATTAAGGTTTGCGAAGCACTGATCTAGGACTGAGAGCAAAACTAAACATTCTTTTAAAGAAAGATTCAACCAAATTAGTAACATTCAGACAAAGATGGGCACACACACCCCTATATATATAAGCAACACTCAGGTTCTTACAATGTTTAACAGTCATAAAAAAAGCTTCTATGTAGTCCTGTGTGGTAGTGTCACTATTTTTAGATTAAAGGTGAGGGAATGAGAAGATGCTGTTTAAGTTTCTCCTAGTCACCTGACCAGCAAGTATACTGAGTCTGGAACCCAGGTCTTGCTCCAACAGTGCAACTTCTTAGGGTCATGAAAACCCCCTGGCAACCAGTAACATGAGGCAATCATTGCTGGGCTAGATGACTCTAAGAGCTAACATCCACCCAACCAAATTCCATCTTTCAAACGTACCTATATTTCCTTCAATCCTTAGAAAAAACAAGTTTCCCTCCTTCCTATCCGTTTGGAAATGTCATTTTCAGGCCACAACTAACCACATTAGAAGACCTGAATGAGTAAAACGGGGAAATAGCTAAAATAAAATTCCCTCTCATCAGTCTGCTGTCTCATTCCCTGCTGAAATAGGACCAAGACTTTGGAAGATGCTTGAGGAAAACAGTTACGGAAGAAACACAATTAGCAGGCTGACTTCTAACTACTTTTCCATTTACTTACCATTTTTGTACCCAGTTTTATTCTTGGTTTTCTGCCAGTGCTTCCTGAGGGAGGAATGCCAAGTAAGCTGGGTATCAACATCGAATCTACTGTTGACAAATGAAGTCAGAAGCACTCCTCCGAGGCTAACCTACCTCTGTAAGGATCCTGGGGTGGGTTCAAGTCAGGGGAAGTTGCAGACTGGACAGGAAGTTGTGGAACTGGAACCTGGTTTGGCACAAGAGAATGGCTGCCTCTCAGGGCCACGCCATCTTCACGATGGGCCCCAACCTGAAAGAGTGAGAGGAGCCACAGAGTTAGCAGGACCCAGAAGGACCACTGGCTGTTTCCTGGGGGTGGCCAAGACCTGGTGAAGGAAGACTGGCCTTTAAAAAACAATACTCCCAACTGCATTTCACTAGAGGGCGCTGAAGGACCATGCATGCACCTATAGTAACATGCAAAACATTTAACACTCAGTAAGATGCTGTGCTGTACATTCAGTGACAAATATGGCAGCGTAGCTCAGGCAGGTAAAACGTCAAATTGTCTCCCAGGGTGCTGCAGCGGAGCGCACTGATTCATACCCATCTGTCTTCTATCATGTCCACCAACAGATCTGACAATTATCTTAATGCCCATATGCTTAATTGTGGGCTTCTCAATTCCCCCATTGCTACTGGAAATCCTACAGGAATTTCAATTTGGCATTCGACTTTCATTTCAGGGGATAAGATTCTCAGGCCTGCCATTTTTTTTTTTTCCATAATGCCAGCTAAGCCTCTGACAGCGGAAGCTACAGCAGTATGGGATATAGCCCCTGCTCGGTACAAATATAATAAAATGTCACCTGGCTTTCCAAAACTGGCAGCCCATTCCAAATTAATGTTTACTGTATTTCATCAGCTGCTGAGTTCCAAATCCAAAGGGGGACCGTTTCTGCCAATGCCACCACACCAGAAAATGTACCAATAAAGGTTTTATTAAACACACCAGTAATGTCATCATTGCCATGCAAGGATGTTTGGACATTTTTCCATTCCCCCCCCCCCATTCTGATCCTAGAAAGACTCGCTATTGTAAACACTATTTATGCTTCCGAAAATAAAATGATAGAGAATGGTATGAGTACTTGGTTTGGAAAAAAACGTTGCCGAGCTTTTTATTAACTACTACCTATTCTGGGGTCCAGAGACGTTGAAGCGGTGGCATTGAGACAGCAATTGCTGACTCTGTAGCATATGCCTTAAAGCAAGCCCATTAAGCATCTGTAAACCATGAGGAACAGCAGTAGCTCACATTTCCCTTTGTGTTTCCAAGCTAGGGTGTAGTTTTTTCTTAGCCTTACTGCTTAATGGGACAGTGGGTTTAACACTCTTTATTCATGAATTTATAACGCTATAATTAAAAAGCTTGATCTTTCCAACCCAAAATATAAAACGACGAGGCAGAATTGTTCACTCTTTTACTAAAAAGATATTTGAAGAGTATTTCCAAAGAATGCAACAACAAAATCTGAACCGACCACCATCAAATTCACCGCACTGAAGCCTGTGTTATCTAAAGGCAGTCAAGTATGAAGTGTCACTTTTATATACTTTAAAACAAAACAAAAGAACGTAACTTAGGGAAAGCACATCAATCATACAAATTGTTCAGATGTAAAATGTAGCAAGAATAGTCAAGGATTTAAAGGGTCAACAAGTATAGATGTACATGTTAGCCCAAGAGAATTCAGGAGTCTGGTGGAGTCTGTACCTGGTTCATGTGTCCCGTTCACAAAACTTTTGGAAAGACGGTTATCTAGCCTTTATGTGGGTGCTTCAAATGTACAGAGATCCTGATTATCTCCCAAAGTAGCCCATTTCACCAGAAATCTGCTCTTTAGATCCCACCCACTAGTCTGAGTCTTTATCTTCTGGAGGTCCACGGAATAAGTGTGAACGTTTTTCACATATTTAACACAGTGGTCAAGGCACTCTCGCCTTTCACCTGTAACTTAAGCTTGTTTTCTTACAGGCAGACCCGGGCCTAGCCAGTGCCTTCCGCAACTTTTCACCCACTCTATTTTTATTTTCCTTCTGAACAAGAGTGACAGTTATATTTCATTCAGGTTTTGATGTGCCATTTTTGTATTTGTGCTTGTAGAAGACTGATTCAGTCAATGATTATCTTTTTAATCTAAGATGTCAACTTGTAAGCATGAATTTTACAGGCCTTGATCAAATGGTAGCTCTTTAAGTCTGTCAATCATGTTAACCTAAATAATTACCTTAGTGCTGATTCATATTTATTGCTATTCTCAATGGACTTAAATTTCTTGTATCTTCACAAAGGATTATTCTAAGCTGGAGTCATTGAAAGTAACCACAGATTTAAGCACAATGATGTGGACTCCTTCTCTTTCTGAATCATCCTATGAAAACTCTCCAGTCTTCTTTATAGGTATCTGTGATACAATTTAAAGTTAACATTTGGCTTTTCTCTTAAGATATATTCAGTTATTGATACTGAAGTTTCTTTTCTTTTTTTCAATTTCCAGACCATATTCAGATTAGGTTTCAAAAGAGAAAAAGAGAACTCACCGTCAATTACCTTTTTTTCCCCTCAACTATTATGAAAGACAGTGTAACATCAGAAAGAGTACAATAATGAGAGTCAGCAATACCTAGATTTTAATTGTTTTTTTTTTTTTTTGTTAACTGTGTAACCACGGGTAAGTGACTCAAATGCAAAATGGTTATATAAAAATGAGTCCCAGATTTATTGTAAGGAGTACCAACAATATATGTAAAACAACTGGTGCATAACAGGCACTCAATAACGGTAGCTCTTATGTGATTTAACTGAAAACCCTAGCATGCTACAACAAAAATAAAAGCTTGAGAATCTTCATTTATGACCACCTTTGTACGCTTTGTCTCTATTATATTCATATCCATTGGATTTTAAATCCTTCTCCTGTACAATGACAGAAAAATCTTAAGTGACATTATAAATATGTTTGAGAATATAGTGGTTACAACTATATTTTTGTTTGGATTTTAGGCATATGTGTTACTTAACTCTGTCATTTTCTGTAACATCCCAAATAATAGCAACCATTTTTCATAAAGGAAGTTGGAGACAAAGTTATCCTTGATGCTATAAGGTCTTGCTTGCAACTACATCTATCCCCCATCAAGTGAATGACTGAAGATGAATCCAGATCCAAGTGGTAATGAGCTGGACTCTCCGGGATCAATACTACTGTCCCTGGTTGTGGAACAGTATTCCAATTTGAAGAATGAGCTTTGCTCTGCACGTTTCCTTCAGCACAGCATGCCCTAACCCTAGTTACTTCTCTTTCAGAAACATTATTTCTGGTCACATAAGAGACAAAGAAAGAAAGTGGATGGCTAGCACAAACCCATCACCAGAGTAAGTCAGAAACAGAGGAACCAATATAGTCATCAGTCAGGAATTTTTTTTACTTTCCATACAATAAATATATAGCAATGTAACTAGAAAAAGGCAGACTCCTTCAATCTACAAATTGATTCTTAAGATTTGCCTACTTTTAGAAAATCCATACTTAATTAACGTCCTCTTTTCTTAACCTTTCCAGATAGTCTACAGTTAAAAGCCAGTTTATGAAAACAGTAAATTTTACCAATACTGATTTTATTTTTTTTGCAATCATTAGGAATAGTCTAGTCTTCTCTTAGTCACATACAATGTAGGTTTAGATCTATTTTAGTGAAAGATAAAACTAAAACTTCAAATGTATTCAGTAATTGTTAAGTGACTGGTCAGAGGTGCTAATTAACTGGAAAACATTTACTCATCTGCTCCCCGCCTTTTACTTTTGCAAGGTGCTGGGGAGAAGGTGAAGAGTAACTCAGTGGCAGCCCTGCCCTGATGGAGCTGACAGGATCTTCCGTGGAGTCTGCACACTGATTGAATTAGTGTGGCAATTGTAACAGTAGGGAACAGAGATGCATCTGAACTTGCTCAAATAAAAGGAGAGTGATCATAAAGATTTTCGTAACTTAGATTTTGGACAAGCAGAGCTTTTGGGGTTCAAGGCTGCTCTCCTTGTCTAGTCTCCTTGTCTTGCATGGACCACTGCAATCTTTCTACCTCCCTCTGGTGGCACCTCTGCCACTCTGGCTTCTGCCCCCTCATGACTACAGCCCAGACTCCTGCTTCGTGGCCTCTCGTGGTACGCTCTTTCAAGCTCTCTATCTGCTGCTAATGCCCTCTCTTAGTATTTCTGAGTTCAGAACGCCAAGATAATCTGATGGCCCAGCTCATTATTTTGAAGCAGACAGGAATCATCCTATGAATGGGCCACCATAGGAGCAGATGTCCCCACACCTGGTCCAATGAGCTACAAAAGGAGGAAGGAAGACCAGATCGTGGGGTCCAAACACAGTTCCCTTGGCCTGCTCCTTCTGCAGGCTCCATAAGTCGTGGCTAGTTATCTCATATACAAAGAGCCCTGGTGATGGAACGGTTAAATGCCTGGCTGCTAACTGAAAGGCTGATGGTTTGAGCCCACCTGGCAGCTCCCACAGGGTCGCTAAGAGTTGGAATTGACTCAACAGCAACGGGTTTGGTTTTTTGGTTTGGCAGCTCCGAGGGAGAAAGAGCTGGTGTTCTGCTCTCGTAAAGATTATAGCCTAGAAACCCCATGAGGCAGTTCTACTCTACATCACATGGCATTGCTATCAGATGGAATTAACTCGATGACACCCAACAGTACAGTTACATAAACCTATCTAAGTTACACTGTATCTTAAGTTATATTCAAATTCTAATACAGATAACTAAATTCTCCTGTGTAAATTTATTGGGAATAATTAAGTACCTTTAGAAACACCTTTTTTTTTTGAATCACTCAAGTACCATATAATTTTAAATAACCTTACTTTTGAGGAAAGAGTTTATATATTAGAAGCACTTTTAAATCACAGAAAATAAGACTTCAGGGGCTTGGAGGGACTTTGGAAATTAGCCTAATCCTCATTTTTCAGGGAAGAAAGCTAAGGCCAAGCATAGTTAAGTGACTTTAGTGAGTGAATGTCTACTTAGAGGACTATAACAGTTTTTAAACTCAGGAAAGTTACAACAGCATTGAATAATTTGAATGGACACATACATAAATAGGGGAGGGAAGCACAGTTAAGGGGAAAAAGGGGCTTAACTGTTTACTTCCTAGAGCTTTTGTTTTAAAACTGTTTGTGTGTGTGTGTGTGTGTGTGTGTGTGTGTGTGTGTGTGTGCGCATATACAATAAAACCTGAGAAA